AGACATGGAGCGTCCGGTTGGTGCAGGCGGCTAGCCACCCGCCGGAGAGGGGAGCGGCCAGCTGGAGCAGGAACCGACGGGAGGAGCATCCAGGCGGGGAGGAGCGCTGCAGGCGGGGAGGAGCAGTAGCCCAGCGGGGAGGAGCGCTACAGGCGGGGAGGAGCAGCAGCCCAACGGGGAGGAGCACGACCGGCGGGAGGAGCCACGCCCGCCTAGGGGTCCGCCTACCCCCCTAGGCGAGGCGGTGCCCCTCCGCCTAGCGTTGAAGCGCGCCCAGGCGAGCCTAGGAGAGCGCCTTTTTGAACAATGATCCATAGTCTGAGAAAATTATTAAAGCTAGCCACGCAAGACATATCCTCATATGAAGGAATAAGCAGAGGTAGGTAAATTATTATTAGGTTGCCTCGTGATGTTGTTTGTTGTGTTACCATTGTTATTAACATATATAATAATGGTGATGGCAGCATTGTTGTGTCACGGTTACTTATTAGGGTATCCCCTATGACGATCGACGTAGCTAGCTGACAAAGGATCTGAAGTGACGTGGAGGAGAGCGAACGACCAAAAAGTAACCCGCTAGTTCTCTTTTTGTCATCGCTAGCTTGGAGGGCCAAGGACACAAGCACACAAGATGGCCGTGCATCTTTCCCCTTCCGCATCTTAGTGTGGAGTCAATCTTACCGTAGATTGGGCGTCTTCATCATGCTTCATGCCCCTTCCTCGGTGTCCACATGCTTCTATCTGCAGACATAGCCCACAGCCCGTAGTGGCCTGGCTAGGGAGTTCGGTGGCTAGCGGCAAGCGTGAGCTAACATCAATCTACCCGGTGGAGTGCCTCATCGGATTCTGCATGGTGGCTTGTTCGGTTAATCCCCAATCAAGTGGATTGGAGTGTAACACCCCAAAATTTGTCACATTTTAAATAGGTGAATTTGAATTAATTTTCGTATTTTTGTGAGCATTTAACCTAGAGAAATAATAATTTTAATAGAATTTAAAAATCAAATATAAAATCATCACATGCTTGTGCATACATGCTGGTGCATATTTGTTCTATGTTGATTGGTTTGATTAGAGGTTCAAAAGAATTCAAATTGGTTTGAATTGGATTTTGAAATGGGGTTGAAAAAAAAGAAAACAATTCTTTTCTCCCTCCTTTCTCCCTCTCTCATTTTGGCCCAGCCGGCCTGCCCTTTCTATTCTCCCACGGCCCATCTTCTCTTCGTCCCCCTCTTTTCTCATTTCCACGGCCCAGCCCTTCCTTCCCGTTCTCTCCCTTTTCTCGGCCCAGCCGCAGTCCCGGCCAACCGCGCGCTTGGCCCAGCTCCCTTCCTTTCCCCCTTCTCCACGCCAGCCCGTAGGCCCAGCATCAAGGCAGACCCAGCACCGAGCCGCGCAGGCGCCCATCTCCTTGCCGACAGGTGGGACCCCGTCATTGGTCTTCTTCATCTTCACCCTTGTTCGCCTAGGACTCTACCGGAGAGTCCGGAGCTGCGCCGACTCCGCCTTTGCCGTACGCCGCAAGCTCCTCCGCGCTCATAAATATGGGCCAGGACCCCGCGCCACATCGCTACCCCAACCCTAGAGTGCCGCAGCCGCCGCGCTTGCCCTAAAGTGCCACTTTCGGATGTCACCGTGTCAGAGCTCGACCCGCCGCTACCGTAGTTGCCATCAGTCGCTTCGCTGATCCGAAGAGCCATCTTCCTAGCTTGATAAATTGGTAAGACCACCGTGGGTTCCCAGCGCTTACTCTCTCTTGCTTTCTATCGATCGTGCGACCTTGCCGAACCAACCAAGCCACCAAATCGAGCATGGGACTACCATCGTGCCTTCGTGGCCGTTCCCGACCCCCTAGACGCATTCCCCATCTCCCTCGCTACCTCTCAATCTTCTCCCATGCCAAACGGTGGTCCATAGCCGTTTTTCGAGCTTCGCCGGTGGGCTTCCTCGTCGCCGTTAATGACCGGCCACCGCCTTGGTCCTATTTCGGCCGGCGAAATAAGCCCAATCCTCCCCAGCCGTTCATCGCGTGATCTGCGGTCCAGATCGGGCCATACCCTTTCGACGATCATGTTGCTAAAGAGCCCCTCAGCTTTCGGATATTTGCGCCCACCATCCCTGCAATTTTTCTAAAGAGCCCCTTGAGTTCTTGGTAATTCTACCCGCAGTCCTGCGGCTATTTTCAAATATGATATTTGATTTATTTTATTCCAAAAACAAAGTTCTAGTTAATTACAAAATTGCCACTATCTTCTTTAGGCCATAACTTCTCCGTTTTAGCTCCGTTTTGACCCGTTCAAGTTGCGTTGGATTCGTAACGACGTAATCTACGCGTTAGTAACTCTAACTTGAATAATAATTACGCAACTGGATTTTATAAATAAAATATGATTTGTTTTACTTTAGTATTATAATTCAAACCTAAATTTGACTTAATTCAATTTATATTATCTATAAAATATCTTATATATGTTTTTATATAGTTAAAACACATGAAGCTAATAGTTTTATATTTTCTTTTATAAGTAGATCTCTCGGTAGTTGTATCTTTTCAACCATAGCTCCGATTAGCGTGCTTTCCTCGTCTGTGTGTTCGTAGCAATACGTAGATTTGTTTCAAATCCTTTTTCACTGTTTGGTGTATTGTTCTAATTCATTATTATTGTTTGCTTCGTGTAAGATTGCATGGATGCTTGTGTGGTGTTATATGATCTTGTCCAGTCGGTGAGTTTTACGTGGTGATCAAGAAGCAGTTCTTTGGAGGCTACGAATCAATAGAAGAAGGACCTAAGTTTAAGGCAAATATAGCATGGGACCATCCTTGTTACCTATTCACCTTTAATCACTTAATTCATATTGCATGTGTCTACTTTGTTGCCAATAAGGATGTCTTAGATATTTGATATCTTGTACCTTGACACCATGGGTGATTATGCATTGGGTAGTATGATGCTAGTGCTCAATTAATGACCATGATCTTGTAACTTGACTAATGAAATATGCAATAAACACTAAAAGATGCTTTTTAGCAACATGGATCAAGGGGCCTAGAGCATTGGGCTGTTTCTATGGTGCTCTAGATTCCTCTCCCTAAGGACTTATTTGTAAGAGAACATCCGGGACTTACAGTACAACTGTGAGGGCTACATGGCTCTGGCTTTAGCTCAATATGAGGACCATTTCTAGCTTGTTAGAGGTTACCCTTATGGTATAAGAATGGCTTGACGAATCGGGTATAGGATAGACTCTACTCTTATGTGTATAGCCGTGATGAAATTATGCCATTCGACAGGGGGGTTTCAATAACTATTTGCCGAGTGAATCTAATGGCCCTAACTTGTTAGACGAACCTTTGAAAGGCTTCATAGTGAACCCTGCCGACCTTCCTAGATAGTGGGTCAAGAGGCTGACCACCTCGGGCGGAAGGGTAAATCACGATTCACAGTAAAAATGTACAATCTCTGCAGAGTGTAAAACTGGTATATCGGCCTTACTCATGGTCACGAGCGACCTTGGAACATTTACGGAATAGATGATCACTAATGATTATAGATGATGAACACTGATGATACTGATGATAAAGATGCTCATTAATGATTACTGTTTATGCTATTCATTATTCATGTTTACCTGATTATGTGTTTATATGGGCCTGTGATAAACCTGTTTCTACTCCTATGCTAAAATTGTGACAATTAAAAGCTAATCGCAGTTAAACCAGTGTCAGCCTTTTTGAGTCTCATGAACCCCATGGTATATTTGTTGAGTACGACGTGTACTTACGCTTGCTTTATTTGTCAATTATTTGGATGAAAATCCTGGATGGATACCAGATTACTAGAGTTTGGAGGTATTAGGTTTATGATCAATCAGTCAGTTGTCCCTATAAAATTAGAGCCTTCACCCGAAGATCGGAGTTATCTTTCCGCTGTTTGCTGTCTAAGGTTATATCCTTTATACTAAGTACGTTATATATTGAGCATTGTCTTTCGATATTACCCTTATTTGTAGCTATACGTGAGATTTGACTTCTTGGGCTCATATATGGTGTGAATCTGGTTTTGTTCTTAAAATCGGGTGCTACATGGAGATGATGGAAAGGGACTGAAGGAGATTTTTACTTGTATGGAATAAAAATCCCCTTCAATACCTTTCAATCTTCTCTAGTCTCCACCAAACCAAACAAGCCTAACTGGGTGCTGCTCCACCCATCACATCTTCCATGCAGATGGGGAAGCTTGAAGGATCAACGTTTAGCGAGTGGTGAATTTGGATAGTGAGGTAAGGAAGGCATGGGATGTTGGGAGGATGGAGAGTAAGGGAACCTCCAATGACCAACTCTAAGCTAGTATTAGATGGCACATGGAGGAGAAAAAGAGGACAAAAGCCTTTGATCTAGTGGTAAAGAGAAAAGTTAAGCTCTGTGGGCGTCTCAATGCATGATAGATATAACTCATCTATCTCTGTTTTGACAAGAGAGAGAATATATTAATAAAAACACCGTAGTACAAACATAATTAGATAACATCTAAGAGTTGATAACTGACTCTTATTATTGGAGGTGTTGTAAAAGATAAGTATTGACTGGAGACCTCATATATAGATAAGAGAGAAGGTACAAAATAAAAAATCTTACATGTGGGGCCATGCTGATGAGTTGGCACCAAGTAACTTGGAGCCAGCTTGTTGGGGACCCCTTTTTGACAAGTAGATAGCACAAGCAATAGGTTACAAACCATACAACCATTAAAGTATAACTGCCGCCAAGAGTATGAATAATCATATCATACTGTTGGAGGAACCGAAGCATGAAAGCCTTTGATGATTAATTAAAAAAGACAAATGCTGAACAACACTCGGTTATTTTGTTTGCTGGCGACGCGCTCCAATCGTTTACAACTCTACTAACTCACAACAAGCACACATCTACAGTGTTATATAAAAGGCGTGAGCAGCCCTCCCACAGGAGCGCACATCACCGAACAAAGGCAGAGCGCACCATGAAGAAGCCGTCCACGCTCCTCCGCTCGTTCTCCTCGCGCCTATCCACGTGGCTCGCGCCCTCGCCGGCGGTGGCCCCGTGGCCGCCGGTCCGATCGGCCTACGACCGCTGGCTCGCCACTGAGCTGGACGAGCTCCGCGCCGACCCGCTCGCACCCTGCACCAGCGCCGCATGGCTCGACCGCGCGCTCAGCCTCGCCGTCGCCGCGCAGAGGCGCCTCGTCGTGTCGGGCATAGCGAGCGGCGGCGCCGCCAGCAGCATCGACAGGAGGACCATCGACGAGCGCGTCGACGACACCGCGGAGCTGCTCGACGCGTGCGCCTGGCTCCGCGACCGCCTGGACACGCTCAGGGGCTACGTCGCCGCCACGCGCACGGCGCTGCACTGGCTCGAAGGCGGCCACGGCCACGGCGGCGAGGGGGCGGCCGCCGCGCGCCGCGCCGCGGCGGCGTTCGCGGAGTGCGAGGCCGTGGAGCGGCGGTGCGGTGCCGAGCTCGCCATGTGCGGCTCCAACCTCCGCAGGCTCGGCGAGAGGGCGCTGCTGCGCACCACCAGGCAGCAGCAGACCGCGGCCACCGGCGCACACCACTGTTGGTCCGACGAAGAGGCGGTGTCCGGCGCGCGCGCGCTGGCGCTGCTCGCCGTCGGCGCGCTGGGCACGGCGCTGGCATTCCGGCCGCGCCGCAGCGTGTGTGGCCTCGCCGGCAGTGGCGGCAAGGCCGCGGCGCAGTGGGAGTGTGCGCTCCAGGACGTGCAGAGGCACGTCAGGGAGGAGTACGACCGGCGGAGGAAGGAGGGCGTCCCGTGCATGGTCGAGCTCGACGCCGCGGCGGCCACCAGCCGGGCGGTGAGATGTGCCGTGGCCAGCGGGCGTGGCCGCCGCTGCCCGGAGACCATCGTAGCAGAGGCGAGGAGGAGGTGCGACGAGCTGGAGGACACGGTGGCGGCGTTCGAGGAGAAGGTCGGCGAGCTGCATAGAGAGTTGATAGCTGTTAGAATGTTGCTCTTGGAGTGGGCGCAGATAGCAGGAGGGCATGAGGTGCTTAGATTTGCCTGTACTCCTGCTCATTCCGAAGCATCTTGTCCAAGATTGTCACGGTCTAAAGGAAGTGATTTAAACTGACAAAACACCTCACAAATTGCATTTCAGCGACCAAAAACTTGCTAGGCGCATACCATACGAGGCTATTACTAGATCCAAATGACCAGTTTCCTAAAAAAAAAAAGATCCGAATGACCAAACCAAGCGAGAAACAAGCAACAAGAATAGACAGTGACGGAACCCACAATTTTGATTAAGGGGACCACTCAAACATGACGATATCTTTAAATCTCTACACCCCAAAAAATTCTAAAGTAATCATAAAAACGTATACTATTCGGTCACAAAGACTAAAAAAAAATTATACCAAATACATATACTATCGTCGGGACGGTCGACAGCCTCACATTATTTATAATTCCAAAGACACGTACATGCTGGACTCATCAGTTTAATTATTCAAAAGGCACGTACGGGTCTATAGGATCATCACAACATACGGCACCCCTCCTCCCAATCTCCTAATTGCTACAAAAAAAATTGCTTTTTTTTAACATGTTCATACTATTTTTTAAAATAAATACAACACACGCTCATACCTAAATTACCATATCATCGTTATGTCTCATCAATTTTTTTAACGTTTTACATATGTAGTTAGTATTCATAAAATATCATAATATTATGACAAAAATAGGTAAATTAGTGTCTTATTATATTGTAAATTAAAATATTTATAGAGGTATTAATAATTTTTCTACTGTATTGGGAGGAGGGGGGGGCACCCTGGTTCCGCTAGTGAGAATGGATTAGATGACTCAAATAAGATCATTGGATTGGATTGTTGGAATTCAGAAATAAGCCATACCTGACAGCTTAGACATCCAATCCAACCATCAAACGTTTATACAGCCGCCCCAGTTTCGCCGACCGTTCATGATTCGTCTAGGCAAAGCGTCAAAATGAAGTAGCGAGAACGACCAAATATAGAATTACCACTAACCTTTAGGCCCTTTTTAGGACAACTTAAATTGTCGACGCTTCGATTCAAAAGCTCGTTTCTTCAACAGTTAGCTCACTAAGAAGCGAAAGGAGTCGAAGCGTACCATTTGGGGTAAGTGGGTTAGGGGCGGGTCGGGCTGGGGGGTCTCGCGTGAGGAGGGAGACAGACATTGGGGCCTCACCTGTGTAGTTGGGAAGAGGAAGAGCCTAAAGCACATAGCTAACGGTGCGTGAGGAGGAGCCAAGCTACACGTGGGAAGGATGAGCCTAGCTGCCGTGCGCAAGGAGGACGAGACCAGCGGTAGAGCTCGAAGAGAGTGAAATCGGTGACAGAGCTTGAAGTGCGGAGTTGGGGGCGGGTGGGGAGGAGTCCAGCCGCCGTGTGTGGGGGAAAGGAGCTCGGCTAATGCGGCAGATCTTGGAGCTCTGTGGTGCCAACAGTGGGTATGGTGGCCGTGCGTGGGGAGGAGAAACCAGGGCCAGCGAGAGGAGGGGCAAGAGGGCCGAGTGAATTGGGGGGGGTGAGATTTTCCCCAGTGCACCACCTGCTGATTCCACTTCCGCTTCCACGTTGAAACACTGCAGGGAGAAGAATCGTGGGTGGGAGAAGCGGCCTGGGAATCACGGAGGAAAAAAATTATGCGACCGTGCGGCATGCTACATCTGGGTGTATGGGATGCTGGCCCCACCAGATGTTGGTTAGTTGTCGCCAGCCACGATTAGAAATTAAAATTATTATCCGTATGAACCTTGAATTACATACAAAAGAGAAAACGGGGGAACTAAAAACCCGCTCTCTTCGTGCCGGACACCACAGGTGACGGGACCAGCGACGCATCTCTCTTCATGCTTGACGAGTTTGCCGCCATCCGCTAGCCGCGCTGCTTGACCGCCGCATCACGTACGCATATGGCGCATGCATGGGGAACAGGGGGAGGCACTGCACGGGGAGCTGATGAGACAGCGTCAAGGGGCTCATCACGGAAATGCCGTCCATTTTGCAGACAGGCGTCGTGCTAGCTGTTCACCAGCAAACAGGGCGGCAGCAAGGCAGCACCATTGACCCATTCCTGTGTGTCCCATGCAATGCACGGTAATATATTCCTTTCCTTCGATTACGGTCACAGATATATTCTACTCAACCTCCAAGACAGAAATGTGTATTGAAACAAAACAAGCTCTGTGTTCCTTGCAAAAGGCCGAAGCACAAAACCAGAACTTAAACTACTAATTGCTGTCATGCTAAATCTGTCAATGTTTAAGGTCTAGTACAATGCATCGATGTGCAAGTTGAAGGTATAAAATACAGGCATTGCTTTCAGTTAAGACCAAAAGCTAGCTGGATTTGATAGATCTCAAAGCTTTGTTCACTTGCTTAATTAACAATCAATTTATTTGTTTCCCATATATGCTGTAGCTGTAGGTATGCTGGCTGGGTTGGTTGTACTTGCTGCTTTCAGTGCAAGAGATTTATCTTGCAGTGTTGAAGATTGTTATTTGCTTAAAATTGTGAATTGTTTCCTAAAAGTACAGAAAAAGCACACCAGGGCCTATTCAGATCTATTAGAACTAAAAATGACCAGCTAAAATTAGTACTAGTACATCCGACCTGCTAATAAAATTGCTAATTATTAGCTGAAGGGTTGTTAACTAGTTCCATTAGCAAGTTTAAAGTTAATAATAGGTGCTAATAGTTCATATACACCTTCAACGTATTATCCAACCACCTATTATAGCAGGTGGATTCAAACAGCCCCTCCTGCTAAAAATTAGCAGTTCTTAGCTATTAGCTAGCTAATTTTAGTGCTAATGGATCCAACAAGCCCTAATTCGTCTTGTATTCCGTTATGCATTTCTATTTCTTTACCACTGCTAGTAGTTTGGGTGTGACTGAGAATGGTCGGGTTTTTTAATAATGACCACGATCAGTCCAGCCTAAACCTAACCCTGACCTTGCCTAGTGTGACTAGAGCTCAGCAATTGAATACCGATTATCGTTTGCACTTTGGTATAAGAAACCTAGCTAACAAAGGTAACAGAATGGATGAATTCCTTTAATTAACAACCCAAAATTGTGTCTATACTGATCTCTAACTAAACTATATATATGACAAGCGAAATGCTTTGCGTTGCCTCCAAAAGGCAATGCATTATGCACGGCCATCCGTCCGTGTTAGCTTCTAAGGTGCCGGATCATCATGATCTTGATCTATGGTTGCAATGGTTTTGGGAGCTAAGAATAATTGCCAAAAGATTCCCTATCTGTGCAAGCAAAAGGTTGATGATGAAGACTAAAAAAGGGCACCCATGTGTCATTTTAATTGAGCAGACATGTGGGACATATGTACACTGACAAGTTATTCATTTATGTGCCCAACACTCACTTCACTTCCTTTGTGGTTTGTGCCCTGCACCATGACGCCTTGCATGTTTTGATTTTTCCTTGTATCTCATTTCAGGGCCTGTTAGTAACGCGGTAAAATTTCCCTGTTTCTATGTTTTCCCTATGAAATTACATTGATTCCTGTGAAACTCATGCGTTTCAAACAGGCCCTCAAATTCTAAACTTTTCAATGGCCGCTCCGTCTTGTCAAGTGAATGTCTTTGAAGATTTACATTTCAAACTGAAAGTTACTTGAATTCAAATATTTTGAACACAAGTTTAGTTTAAGTTTGTTAAAATTTATAATGTAAGTTCAAGTTTGTTATGTACGCCTAGCTACATAGTATGCTCATACACTAATACTCTAGCTACTAATAGCTCTTCTGCTCTTGGGATTGTTAGCGAGGTTGTTAGGGGTCATTACAGCCTTACAGGTAGGCGCTGCCTTTGGTACAAGCTACAGATCATACTAGAGTAGATTTCCTGAAAGATTCTGGTGTTGAAATTGGGACCTGTGATCTTGAGTCTTGACTGAGTCGAAGATGCTGATATGAGCTGTTAGAGCAAATGTTTCAACACACAGGAATTTTGATACTGCCAACAATGGCCAATTTCGGCTGGCTCAAGGCAAGTAGAATGGTGCAACGGCTATTCTATTTGATGTGACGTTTATTTGAAATCAGAGTCTAGGTTTGGCCATATGGGCATAAAAACACTTCCTAGAACATCTGACCATGTCCACTAATTTTCTTATAAACCATTCACCTTATTTTTTTTCCCAAATTAAATGTTTATAAAAAAATATTAGCCTGATCCATCTTTAATAGAACTCTCTTCACTATCTTTTTTTAAAAAAAATAATGGAGCTGCTGACTTCAAGGTAGTGAAGCCTTGGCAGAATTCGATACCCCAATAATGCATTATATCTATTTTCCATTAACAACTAGTATAACTAACTTGATTGAGCAGTCAGTCATCCACTTGGATGTATGTACGTAACTGACACAGAAATATAAGAACTTGAAGGCACACATCAACACCAGCCGTCAGCTCATGGGATGGCCACAGCTGCCACACCAGTTAGGACAATCTGCTGCAATCCTTTCCCACACATCCATGCTGTTCATATTAGGGCCTTGTTCACTTTGCAAATTTTTTCAACCCGATGAATAGTACCACTTTCGTCTTATTTGGCAAATATTATCCAATCGTGAACCAACTAGGCTCAAAAGATTCATCTCGTGATTTCCAACTAAACTATGTAATTAGTTATTTTTTTTATCTACATTTAATACTCCATATAAGTGGCTAAAAATTGATGTGATGAAAAAAGAGTGAAAAAACTTGGAATTTGGATGACATCTAAACAAGGCCTAGATTCTTCTGATGACTGACGAACAAACAATAAATGAAACGCCAATTTCTAAATGGTGCAATTCTTTGGAGACATACGTGTTCAGCTCGTCGCCCACTAGCTAGAAGCGCCGGGATCGTATCGACAATTTGATCACGAATTCACAACCATTTCAGTGCATATATAGATATCCTTGCTGCTGTACACTCTGGAGCAAGATGGGACCGAAACAGAGGTGGCTGGGGTTCATCTTGGTCCTGCAGCAGGAGACCAAGGAGCACCCAAGAATCAAGCGTGGTCGTTGTCCTGCCGCCACACTGTGCTTCTGCCTTTATCAAGCAC